CCCTCCTAGGGACTGCTTCTAGGGCCCACCGAAGCGCGCCCCGAGGTGCGCCTTCTTTTTTTAGCGACCCTCCGTGTCGCCTCTAGCGGCCCGTCGCGCCGCCTTCTTCTACGTTCTCAGTGTGAGTGCTGGAGCCAGCAAGAAACTAGCCTTGGATCCTTGTCTGTGTTCTTTATTTTATTTATTATTATTATCTGTTTTCTCCAAAGTGCGAGATGTTGTCCTTTCACTAGAGCATTGTGATTCCATCTATTCAAGTCACTCTTGTTCGCTTGCCTTCTTTTCTCGCCTTCTAGTCTCGCCTTCTTGTCTCGCCTTCTTCTCTTGCCTTCTTACTTGCTCCGCTTCGCCAAACAGAGCAGCCTCGCCTCAATGCGTCTGCTTCAGTCTCAAGTGACTACACCATCATGCATCAGCACATCACTACTTTGCAACTTCCCCGGCTTCATATCCCCGTCTACTTTGCACCTCTGATGCTCAATTTAAATGTTTCCGATTCTCAACATTGTTCATCATCTCCCCTCTTCTTGCATCGTATGCCAATCATGAATTCATTTCATCCCTTTTATCCTCACTTCACTCTGCAGTACCGGCATGCATCACCATATTGCCACGTTGCAACTCACTGAATATCATAATATCCACCTCAAAACAGCATCCAACGAATGCCCCATAAATGCGGATAGTCTCTTGTCTATCAATCATCCTTCTCAGTCATCTTCCATCCCTTCCATCCTCTTCCATCCCTTCCATCCTCTTCCATCCGTTCATACTCCCTTCACCCTCCAGGGCGACACATGTGTGTCAATTGCCAGTTCTATTAAACTCACAAGAGACGATCTCACAGACCTCAACCCCGGCCTTGACTGCACGCAAACCATCAAGCCCGGCTGCTCGATCTGTGTGGAGCGCAATAGAACATACGCCTACAGCGTCCCTCAGTGTGTGAAATACGCCACGCTCGCAGCACAGAGCACGTGCGAGAAATTGCTGCAGGGGTTGGGACTGCCAAGCACTCCTTCCACTTGGGCTGAGCTCTACCGCAACAACCCCGGTCTTGTCTGCTCCAACACCATCCCTTTCACCACGTCGGCTATTGGTAACAAAATCGGCGTGCAGGTGAGAAGTGCAAGTGGGAAAGGAATGGGTGGGGAGAGCGGATGCGCAACGGGAGGTGGTAGGTGGGAGAATGAGGAGATTTGGAGCTAGCCAATCATCGGGGGCACTTACAGTGTCCATCCTTGCTTTGCTCCCAACCTTTCCTGTTTCCATCGTCCTATCGTTCTTCCTTCTCTTTTCTTTTCTACCCCGTGCCCCACGTGGTGCCCCCAGGTGTGTCTGCAAGCAGATTACTGGCCGTTTTTACTCGGAAAATGCACCAAGGGCCGGCCCAAGAATGTGTCCCCATCGCTGACCTGTTCCGGTGCTTACAGCTACTATGGGGGCACTATGAGCCAGGCAGCTTCAAATTTCAATACCTACAATGGCAATGCCTGTGCTGGGAAGGTCGGGGCTAAGTACATATGTGTGCCGCGTTAGATGAGAGGCATAAGTTTCTATTCAAGCACGGGGAGCCCCACCTTTCTATATTACTTCCACTACTATAAAACTACTATGGTTTTGTGTCCGTTTCTATTTTTTGGGTTGTTTGGCTCACTTTATTTCGGGTTTTAGTTTTCAACCCATTTCTTGCATGCGTCCCATTGTACAGTATCTTGTTGGGCTTATAAAATGGCTGTTTCTATTACCGTATTTAACATATTTCGACAGCTTTCAGGCTTTCAAACTGAGTTTGTTGTTGGTTGAGGGGAGTTGGATAGTGCTAGTGCTAGGAAGGAAGGTTCGGTACCTTATGACAAAGCCTTCTGGCAGAGGTGCCTGCCTCTTGGAGAAAAAAATAAGACGGATGAGGACTGTGATTGAACAGTGGCAATGGGGACAAACAAGGAGTCAGAGGCGGTTTTCTCCCTCTTTTCAATCATACGGATGCCTGCCGCGGGTTGTGGACCCACTCGGATTTCTTCCCCATTATTCTAATGGCGGGTGGCGAATGTCGCTCCTGTTTCTTCTTGGAGTCCTGTGCTGGCAACGTTGATAACTTATGTTGTCCATTAATTTTGGCATACCATACCGTATTTCATTAACTGGGTTGTGCATATCATTTTTCTATGGATGTGTGTGATTTGAGCCACAATCGGCCATATAGATGAGTCTTATCGTCTTCAAGTGTTGGGTCGAATCGAATTGATTAAGGGAATTGACGGGGTTGCGGATGAGCCGGATGCAGTCAGGTGTGTCGATGTTGAGGGAGTAATCCATGTTTTTATGGCACTACTTGTATAAGGTTAGTGACCATCATAGTGGTGTGGCGGCTGCATGACATTGAGGTTTAGATGTTGTGAACACGGTAAGAAGGCTGGATATTTAACTGTTTTATGTTAAAATTATATGAACCTAGGACCGAACGAGCAGGATATTTGGCTGCTTTTAGCGAACATAACTGGTTGACCATGATGGCAAACCCAGCTTTGTGTGAAAAGCCCTGTGGACGAATTTGACTTGCGACTTTCGCTTCTAGTGGGCGAGATTGTCAGCTACCTAGGTGCCTGTCCGTGGCGTTTGACGAAGTCCGCAGATCCAACAACCGACAAGCACAGGCGGGTTATGGGCGAGGCGATGGCGTGGGGTGGTCCGCTGTCATCACAATGTACTGTATTGCTTCTAGAAAGACCGTACATGATCCTGGTTTCTCAGCTACCCGATGATCAGATGATTCGTTCAATGATTCGATATATTTATACACGTAGATGGGTGGTCTCGGTTGCGATTTGTCGCTGGCTTCTTACGTTTGGCAGATCTGGAGCCTGGAGACCTTTCATCAGACCAGCTCTACATGCTCGTTCGACAAATCAAGGTATGTCAGCCAGGCTGAACCCCCTTGTTCCCGCGCCTTTCAGGGTCATATCGATATATGCTTACAAGTGTTCTCGTTTATAGTCCGACGGACTGAGACGCCGCGCGCGGACTATGTGCAAAACCCTTCAAACCCCAGGCAGAACGCGATACTTACAGTCGCGTTCAGGAAAATTGCATGAAGAGTGGATTTCTCGCTACTAGTCTTTGGATTTTGTCTTGTACATAGATTCGGTTCCCCGCGCTGATCAATGTCGCATGACAAACGGGCAAAACAAAACAGAATCAATTATGGTTTGGGGGTCGAATATAAGGTAAAAGAATCTAGTTTACTTTGTAAGCGAGGTAAATGAGATGTCATCGTCGAGCGAGCTGGAGACCGCGCGACAGGATTGAGAATTAATCACGCTCAAGAGAAACAATTACTTACAATTCCAAAGTTAAATATCAAATCAATAATCCCCTCTTTCATTTTCCCTGCATGTTGGGGCTAGTTCGATCTGGAGCATCTGATTGGCTGTAGAGCTGATTCGTGCAATGATTTGGTCATGCTGCAAAATTTCCCGCCAAAAAAAGGACTATAGGGGTCGGGCCAACCCTAGGCGATATCAGAAAACTCTGCACAAGGGGGAAAAGGGACTCTTTCAGTGAGGGCCTCTAACCCGGAACATCTGTATTATGTAGTCAAAGGATATTGATAAGGAAACCCTCAGATTCTCTAGAAGAAACTATTGTGCTCGCTTAGAAGCTAGCGGGACTACTTCTCTGACCCCCACTCTCCTCCTCCCCTTTCTGCCCCTACCAGCAGACCCTAAATCCATCCACTCCGGCGTAATGAGAGCTGTTTCGAGAGCAGCTCAACGACTACTCAAATTAAGATCCGCACCATGTTATATATCTGCTCACCCTGTAAATGGCCGGGTGCTGCCTTGCCATGTCACCACTCGTCAAATTTGTTTTAGAGTTAAGAAAGACCTTGAGCTTAGTGTCTTCTTCCACATCTAAAATCATGCTGTTAAACAAAGTGGCTATGGAGGAAGTATTGCCTTGTTTTTGGGTTGCATAGCAACCCTTTATATTTGGTTTCACATTTTGGGGATATCATTTGAAGAGTGTTATTTACGCACTTTTTGGAGCACTTGTTTGAATGTTTTGAATCTGTGCTCAAACGGATGCCTCAGACAGTGGATAAAAAACACTCTTGAATGAGATCCCCAAAACACGTACGCACGTACGCATCATGTTGAAACCATGAACTTGCTCGACCGTCACAACCTCGTCGATAAATACGGCGGATCGTACGGCCGAGCATAATATTCTGGCATCAACATGAACGAATGCAATTGTACAAATGAACAACAAGGTACCTATCAGAACATTATAGCTTATACATTTGTGTAGGCTGTAGTGGGGTAGCCCATAAGGGGTACAACCCAATTAGGGTTAGTACTTGTACCCAACTCTTTCATAGTTCAATCATTCTCTCGTTTCAATCTTCACCTGGTATAGAGCTGGTTCCCTCGTGGGAACTGTTCCCAGGGCCCACCAAATTAGTTTTTCCTGCCCGGAGCACGCTTGGCCTCTGCCCGAGTCGCGCCCCGAGTCGTTTCCCCTCTAGCAGCCTCTAGCGGCCCCTAACGGCCTCGTCGCGCCACCCTTTCGGCCCCGTCGCGCCGCCCTTGCGGCCTCGTCATGCCGCCCTTGCGGCCCCGTTGTGCCGCCCCTTACGCGGCCTCGTAGCCGCCCTTTCCTACGGCCCCGTCGCCGCCCTTTCAGCCCCGTCACGCTGCCCTTGCGGCCTCGTCGTGCCGCCCCTTACGCAGCCTCGTCGCCGCCCTTTCCTACGGCCCCGTCGCCGCCCTTTCGCGGCCTCGCCGCCCTCCCTTACAGCAGCCCCGTCGCCCGCCCTTTCGTGGCCTCGCCGCCCTCCCTTACAGCGGCCCCGTCGCCCGCCCTTCCGCGGCCCCGACCTCGCCCTTCAGAGGCCCCGTCGCCTGCCCTCTTAGCGGCCCCACCGCCGCCCTTTCAGTGGCTCCGTCGCCGCCCGCCCTTTCAGCGGGCCCCGTCGCCGCCCTTTCAGCGGCCCCATGACCGCCCTTTCAGCGACCCTACGCCGCCCTTCCATCGGCCCGTCCCCGCCCTTTCAGCGGCTCGTCGCCGCCCTTTCAGCGGCCCCACCGCCGCCCTTTCAGCGGCCCCGTAGCCGCCCGCCCTTTCAGCGGGCCCCGTCGCCACCCTTTCAGCGGCCCTTCGCCGCCCTTCCCGCGGCCCTGTCGCTGCCCTTCCACGGCCCCGTAGCCCGACACTCTCTCGCAAATCTCTCCTCTCTTTGCCAATCTAATAACCTCATTTTTCTGCCCTTTTTACATCGCATTCACTTCCCGTCCCAACCCTCACGACTTACTCTTCTGCATTACAGAAAATCACGTACCCTGTTCAGGGCTTTGAGCGCACTGCATTCAAGGGGTATGTGGGGCTTTTGCTGACAGTGCAGAAGCAGCCAGTGGTGGTTCACATTGAAGCTACTGTTGCCTCCTTCGCCAAATACGACGGGGTGAGTGAAACCAAGTTGCTTTTGTTTGTCTACAAATGGTTGGTTGCTCCTTTCCGCTTCCTGCTTGCCACAAGCGATGTGGCACAGTTTATCGCTACATTTCTACCAGTAATGTGGGGAACAGGAACGTGAATATATGTCATGTAACTCATACAATGTTATGCTGTTTATAAAAGAACAACCAGTGCTCCTAATGTTTTTTTTTACTTGATATGCACCTTGGCAATGCCTATACGCTGCACATATACACTTCCTTATTTATGTTATCTAGCCAGTATATTTTCATGTTTGCCTTTCTGTCTCCAGACTTTTAAGTACCAGGATCCTGGCTGCTATACCGGCAACCTGAACCACGTCGTACTCGTTGTTGGATACTTCGTTTTGAGGGATGATGGGAGTGAGAACCGCATTGCGCCGCCGTTTTGGATCATCCGCAACTCGTGGGGCGAGGAGTGGGGAGACAGGGGCCACATGCGAATGGACATGCAGGGAGGCGATGGCGTGTGTGGCATCAACGTGCTGCCTGGCATCTACCCCATTGTCAAGAGTGAGGCACCTACCATATCAGGTTGTTTTCCTACTTCTTGAAGGGTCAAAAATCGCTTCCATTCCCAAGAATGGAGCATATCTATGAGTTATTTGCATGCTCCTGGTTCTTTCTATGGAACTTCAGCTTTCCATGGGGTTCATTCATCCTTCCCTTATCTCCTCCTGCCCTCTGTATCTTGTGTGCCATCCAGTCCCCAAGGAACAGTGATAACAGCTTCTTTAAGGGTCAGCAAGCACGCCCATTCCCAAGAATAAGAGCTATTTGCGTGCTCCTTTCCATCTCTTTCTCTTTTGAGGGGTTCATGAGAAAGCTGACACGTCAGCTTTCCTGAGGTTCATGGGGTTCATCCTTCCCTTATCTCCTCCTGCCCTCTCTCCCTCTCTTCTGTGCCTTCCAGTTCCCAAGGACCCATGCGGCTTGAAGAGCTACAAGGGCGATGGAGATCTTCAGCCCAGCATGAACCCGTGCGGTCGCTTCACCTGCGTGCCCAACCTCAAGACCAACAGCAACACCTGCAACTGCACCATTCCGGATCAGACCAAGCAGCCTTTCGTTGAGGCAGCAAATGGATATGGATACATCTGTGTATATGGTGAGATACGGTGTATTGCTTATCGTTGCAACGTTCCTTCATGGTTCTGTGTGCTTCTTGGTAGCTTTTCTAGGTTTTGAATCCATGCAGGGCCGTAAAATAAAACAAACAAACAAACAGACCTTTCACATGTGAACAAATACCACTCACATGTATGTATTGTATTTCTGTGCCAAGCCAAGGGTCAATCCTCCTGACATTTGCCCTGAATCTACTTGGTCACAAATGTAATCCCCCCCACCTCCTTCTTCCCCCCTCCCCCCTCCCCCCCCCCTCCCTTTTTCCTCCTCCCTCCCTTCGTCTCCTTACACCACTCCCTATTACTCCTCTCCACCCCTCTTAACAGTGGACGTGTGTGGGTCGTACTTCAAGAACCCTTGCGCTGTGGGCACATGCATCAACGATGGCAAGGGCGCCTACTCCTGCATCTGCCCTCCCAACTACGTCCCCAGCCGAACCATTGACAACTTCCCCACCTGCGACCCAGGTGCTGCTGCAGCCCCACCTTCCTCTACTCTCTTGTTCCTCCTCCAACATTTGTAGCTCTCCTCTTTGTTCCCCACCTGCAAGACAGGTGCTTCTTCTCCCTCGCCTTCCTCTGCCTCTTATTCTTTCCCACGTGCCCATTATTCTCTCCAACAGCCCAGTCCCCCGAACCCGTTTCACGAGATTTTGTATTTCTGGGTATTGTTCTTTTGCTGAATGACTGAGCCGCATGCTGTCCTTTACTGAATGACTGTCACTAGTTGAGCTTGGGGAGGGTTTAAGAGTCAAAGGAAGGAAGCTTGTTGAGGAATGCGCAAGGAAGTGAGTAGCATCGTCCTTCCTTCTATCCTTGTCGCCCCCGTCGCCTCTTCAAAACTCAGCTTGTCCCTTCACTGAGAATTCATTTTTGTGGAAGCCGCAGAAGCTTTGTCCCTTATGGTTGCGAATTTCTGTTTTTTTTCCTATTTTCCTCCCTCGCCCTCTCGCTTTCCCCTCCAGCTAACATGAATGCCACCAGCATGACGGTAATTGGTGACAACTGGCAGTGCGTGGACGTGTATTCCCTTGCAGGGCTCTCCAGCACGCAATTCGCTCAACAAAACACAGTAAGGGGATATCATCAGGCAGCATGCAGTTCACTCTGCAGAAGTCGGTAAGGGGAGATCACCATGCATGGGAAGGAAAGAAAGAACTGAATTCGCCCTAGTTGAGTCGAGTCAGAAGCCGCCCTAGTTGTGCGGGGACGTGGAATCAGAATGGTATTCCCTCACAGGATTTCCAGCCCGCAGTTTTCACAGCTGACGGCAACTCGGTAAGGAGAGATCAACTGAAAGGGTTGACTGAACTCGGCTGGCGTGGAAGGACTGAATATGTTGGGACAAATATTTAATCCTCTGCTTGGATAGCCTGAATAGCTTGAAGGGCCTGAATAGGCAGATTCACAATGGGCTTGCTATTTGCCATGTTCCTCTGCTTTGTTGTTTAGAATCTGTATTTGCAGTTGGCCCAAAACCCTCATGCCTGTGCTCTTAAATCCATATATTTCTCAGTGCCTGTAAGTCCTAATGCGTGTGATTCCCAATGCCTTTGATTTCCAATGCCTGTACTGCCTAATGCAGGCCGTTGCATGCAACAAAGCGCTACCTAAAGGGACGGTGCTTTAGCTCGCTGAATCTCCTGTCATCCCCTGCACTGCCTTCTTCTACGTTCTCAGTGTGAGTGCTGGAGCCAGCAAGAAAATAGCCTTGGATCCTTGTCTGTCTTCTTTATTTTATTTATTATTATTATCTGTTTTTTCCCGAGTGCCAGATGTTGTCCTTTCACTAGAGCATTGTGATTCCATCTATTCAAGTCACTCTTGTTCGCTTGCCTTCTTTTCTCGCCTTCTAGTCTCGCCTTCTTGTCTCGCCTTCTTGTCTTGCCTTCTTACTTGCTCCGCTTCGCCAAACCGAGCAGCCTCACCTCAATGCGTCTGCTTCAGTCTCAAGTGACTACACCATCATGCATCAGCACATCACTACTTTGCAACTTCCCCGGCTTCATATCCCCGTCTACTTTGCACCTCTGATGCTCAATTTAAATGTTTCTGATTCTCAACATTTTTCATCATCTCCCCTCTTCTTGCATCGTATGCCAATCATGAATTCATTTCATCCCTTTTATCCTCACTTCACTCTGCAGTACCGGCATGCATCACCATATTGCCACGTTGCAACTCACTGAATGTCATAATACCCACCTCAAAACAGCATCCAACGAATGCCCCATAAATGCGGATAGTCTCTTGTCCATCAATCATCCTTCTCAGTCATCTTCCTGAGAAACTTGAAGGAACAGGAATGAATGAACTATGAATGTGCGAGTACAAGTACCAACCCTAATTGGGTTGTAACCCCTATGGGATACCCCACTATAGCCTATACAAAAGTATAAGCTATAAGTTCTGACACACCCCCATAGGCAAAGTGGGGGAGAACAAGGGGTCACAAGACCAGTCAAGCAAAGCAAAACAAAGCTCAGGGTGGATCACAAAGTCACCACACAGTCCGAGCACAAGGTCAAGGCCACAAGGCCACTCCACATGCAAGATGAGACATATATATAGAAGGCTAAACAAGCAAGAGCAGGTATATATATATGCAAGAGTACAAGCAAGGTCAAGAGGTGAGCAAGTGAGGTAGGATAGGTACAAGTCCCAGCTGAGTGCAGAAGCGGTGATGATCACAAGGCGGAAGTGCCTTGGTTAAAACATCAGCAGTGTTGGCCTCAGAGGCCACGTACGCAAGTCGCAACTGACCACGCTGCTGCAGCTCACGAGCAAGGAAGTAACGGAGAGCAATGTGCTTCATTCTGTGCTCCAAGCGCTGCTCTCGACACAAGGCCAGCATGGCCTTGTTGTCTACGTACAGCACTGGAGGAGAACGAGGCGGCTCTCCAAGGTCAGTCAGCAAGTAGGTGAGCCAGCGAAGCTCCTGTGCAGCCATGGCCCCGGCGTAGATCTCAGCCTCACAACTGGAGCCGAGAACAGAAGACGAGCGAGTAGCCCGCCACGAAACAGAGTTAGAGCCAAGACTGAAGGTGTACCCCTGCGACGACCGCTGCATAGCCTGGTCGTCAGCCCAAGAAGCGTCCGCGTGACCAGTGAGGACCACTGGACTCCACCCTCCAAGCACTAGCCCCATGCCCGACGTACTGCACAAGTAGCGCAACACCCTCTTCGCTACAGCCATGTGCTCTGGTCGGTGTCTCCCAGGAGCAACATAGCGTGCAAGAATGCTAAGAGGGTATGCAAGGTCAGGTCGTGTGCAGGTCATCAGGTACATGAGGCAGCCAACAAGCTCTGGGTACGGGCCAGTCGACTCTACGGACTCATCCGAAGGCAGAGCTGAGAGCGAGTGGCGAGTAGCCAGAGGAGTGGCCTGAGGCGAGGAGTACGTGAAGCCGAAGTGCTGAAGGACCTGCTGCACCATGTGTGACTGAGTCAAAGTAATGGTGCGGCGTGCTCTGTCCCGAGTGATCTGCAAGCCAAGGTAGCTGCGCAGTTCACCCAGGTCTGTGCACGTGTGTCTCTTCAGCAGCTCGGACTTCACGTAGGCAAGTCCAGCAGTGTCATCAGTGGCAAAGACCAAGTCGTCGACGTACACGAGGATGTAGAACGGCGGCAGAGAAGTGTCGGTGCGCAGAAACAACGACGGGTCAGCAGTAGAGGGAGCAAACCTCAGAGCCGCAAGCGTAGTCCTCAGTGTGTCGTGCCACTCACGTGGTGCCTGGCAGAGACCGTAGACTGGCCGTCGGAGGCTCCAGTGGGTGCCAGGAGGGAAAGTCCCAGTGAAGCCAGGCGGACGGCGCAGCCAGATCTCCTCGTGCAGGCTGCCCTGCAAGAAAGCAGTGCTGAAGTCAAGAGAGTGAAGCTCGTAGTCGCGCTGAGCGGCTATGTGCAGCAGCACCCGAAGAGTAGTCATCTTCGGGGTGGGAGAGAAGGTCTGAAAGTAGTCAACTCCTTGCCGCTGACTGAAGCCACGAGCAACGTACCGCGCCTTGAAGACAGGTGGAGAGCCAGGCAGCCGCTTCACCCTGAAGATCCACATGCCACTGACGATGTTCGCCCAAGGAGGGGGAACCGCGTCAACGTAGGTGCCTGTGGACTTCCAGGAAGCCATCTCTGCATCCATAGCTGCCTGCCACTGAGAGGAGTAGGGACCCTCTACGGCCTCCGCGTAAGAGCGCGGAGTCGGGATGTCTAGTGCATCCGGGTCTCCCTTAGGGGCAAGCAGTACAGACGCGAGATGAGGTGAAGCAGCAGCCAGACACTGGAAATCCTCCTGCCTGTCCTCAAGGACGTCCGTGCCAAGAGCACACGCACCCCCGACGGACGGAGGACAGACAGACGCAGACTCAGCAACAAGACTAGCAGCGTAGTCTAGATGACAGCGAGCAGCAAAGTCGACGAGCTCAGCGACAAGAGCAGACGCAGCAGTGGACTCAAAAGAGGGGTCAGTGACGACAATAGCAAGAAGATGCGTGACAGTAGGACTGGCGGCACGAAGAGAGTCCGACTCCGGGTCGGCAAGCGCAGGAAGAGAGGACTCAGGAGGAGAAGGCAAAGGGGCACGCAGAGGAGTAGTGGAAAGACGCAGAGACATCCGATGCGTGCCAGGGACAGGAGGAGGACGCTCACGCGAACCGCGACCGCTAGTGCGAGCAGCACGAACAGGCGACGCGGGACGAGACGCAGGCTCACGACGCTCAGCGAGACCTCCAGTAGGACCAGTGTAAGGAGAGGGAGCAGGCAGCGGTGAGGCGGGCTCTAACAGTGACTGCGACTGGACAGACGGCGGACACTCTACAGAAGGAGGAAGACCAAGAACCTGCTGCAGGAGCGGAACGAAGTACGGCCGAGGCCGCGCGGGGACTCCAGGCACAACAGGGAGAGCACCAGAACCCTCAGCGGCAGCACCAGCGCCAACAGCACCTCCAGCAGCAGGACCACCTCCAGGACAGACAGCAGCAGTCTCAGCACCAACACCCTCAGCAGCTCCAGCTCCAGTGGGACCCGAAGGCCCAGCAGCTCCAGGACTGGCGGCACCAGCACCCTCAGCGGCTGAAGACGCTCTAGCTCCAGCAGAACGCCTCCAGCGGCGAGCAAACCACTCGCGCATCTCCTGTGGAGAGAGGGGCTCCCGCGAAGACGGAACACCCGGAGAAACTCCAGGCCCAGCACCGCTAGACGCCACAAGGGGAGGTCCAGTGGCCGTAGGCTCCGCACCTCCTGGCTCAGCAGCTCAAGACGCAGCACCTCCAGGCTCAACACTCTCCCGCGCAGCACCCCCAGATGCAGCAACCTCAGGCTCGTCACCCCGAGGCTCAGCACCCACGCGCACAGCACCCCCAGAGTCAGCACCCCCAGGCTCAGCACCCTCAGCAGGACCAGAGTTACCATCAACCTCGACTGGCTCGACGGCGTCTACCTGGGACACACCTGAAGGGGCAGGAACTTGAGGGGGGAGGGGGTCTACCGGGGGGGGACCTGGCACAAGGAAGTCCGGTGGCGGGGGCAG